TGTGCAGAATGAAGATTTGCTTTGGAAGTAGTCCTTAAAATAGACTGAGACATTCTTAAATTAAGTAAATGAAGTTTATATTCAATGTTTCACTCATCATCACAGCAGATGCAAGTAATAGATAAACACTAGCCTATCTGGTGTATCTTCTGACCTATGTTAGATTATTCTCTGCAGATTAGCCTCTTATTATTTTAATTTTTAGGAAGTTAATGGTTCCAAAGAAGTGTATAAAATGATGAATATTATTTGGGAGACTATTCCATAAATAGTGTATAAAAATTTTTATCAGTGAGGGAGCTTTTCTGATCATAATCCTAAGGGATTTTTTGCCCTAAAATAAAGCATCTGCAGTAAATATAAACTGATTTTGTCTAATACTTTAAATCCTCTGTAACTGGGGAGTTTTTAGCTGTAGACCTGGATTTTCATTCATTTTGTCTGGCTTATACAAATGTCCAATCTAGGTACCCAAGGTCAAGTAAGTTACCTACATTGGCTATGGAGCAAGGTCATCCATGGGTGAAGTGGTTGGTCTTCCAGAAATCCACACCCTGATTTATGTCACTGCATCTTCGCCAGTGACTTGAGCCCACTTCTGTGAGAAATTTATGGAAGCCACTGAGATCAAAAGAAGAAATCAAGTATTTGTGTAGACTCCTGCTTAACTCACGGACTTTAAAAATAATTTTAATTAAATTCGTATAACTTTGCTTCTAACCATAGTTTATTTTTCCTTTAATGTAACAATATTTAATAATTAATATTAAATAGTAATTACATGTGTTATTTTTATGTACATTTCTACAAACTTTTTTTTCTCTTTTCTTCACCTTGCAGATTTCTTTTTGTCCCAAGCACAGGGGACTGTGAGCTGATTAACCTGTAGCCTTTGCTAGTTTGCTGCTGCTTGGCAGTGCAATCCTGATACTAAAGTCCACCTGTTTTAAATCAGTTGCATGAGACTGAGGAGACAGGGACAGGTAATTCCTTGAGTTGCATTAATGAAACAATCTTTTCCAACATTGCTGAATTATTTGGAGCAGCAAAAATTTATTCTATCTGCAAAGAATTGCAGAAGGAGGGTTCTCATGTTATGAAATTAACAACATTACTAATAGTTTGATAGTAATATGCTGGCAGCTACAACAAATTGTTGATAATATCACCATCATAAATCTACGGAAAACAATGTTGATAACACCTATAAGATCAAATAATATCTACTCCTATCAAACCTGCAATACAAGTTTAGGTCTTTTTGAGTAGGAGCTATGTCCTGTAGGTAGTCATGACCATCAGATGGTCAGGCTGTTTAGGAAAATGTTTAGCCGTCAGCAAATATAAGGTCTGAAAAAGAAGATCTTCATGGTCAATTAAAATACACAACTGTCACATTTAATTCCAACATAATCGAGGAAAAAGATTGTTATCTTCCCAGCTGAGGTGTTTTTAACATATTTTGGACGCACACAGTGTTTCCAATACATTTCAGACTCATATCTAATCTATGTCATCTTTCTCAGGTTTCTGTCAAAATTGTTGAATTCTTGGTTAATTATCAACATTTGTATGATTTTCTTCCCTCCGTCACAACATTTTTTCTTTTTCAGTTTTCTTCTCATTTATTCTATCATGTCTGTCTAAACATTATCTGTCCTTAAAAAAACTACAAATATTCCCAAATAAGCCCTGGAGTGCATACTCATTTTAATAGTGCAAGAAAACCTGTAGACATTTAAGTGCCTTAAGTGCTCTGAGCAGGGCATGTGTTTAACTGTGGTGCTGAACTGGGGTTTTAGTGCTAATCTCCAGACAAATCCCTCCTTCTTGGAGCTGCTGTGCTGGAAGAAGACATTTCTCCCACCAACTGCACCTCACCCCTCCTTCCTTGGCTCTGGCCAGACATTCCCTTCTCTGCAGTCTTGCTGACAGAGCTGACACTCCTGTCCCAACATTGGTCAGTGCCTGTAGGAACAGTTCAGCCCAACATCAAAAACTGCTGAAGTTGAGAGTGGCAACTACCACCACCAGACCTGCTGCCTCGGGATGGGGCTGTGTACCACATCCCAGCTCCCTTTCCTTGGGAGTTAACATAGAGGTGAAACTGGGAAAAGCCCTAATACTTACAGAATTCAATATAAAAGTGATTTAAGGTACAGTGTGCACCATGCCAGGAAACACTTCATTATGCTCATAGGTGTTACTCAAAGAGCGCTGGTGTGTTTAGCATTTTAGATTTTCTGCCCTATAACACATGACACAAGGTTTATGCTGCACATGCTTAAGTCAGAAAAGGTGTTATAAGTAGAAAAATGGGGAAGGAATTAAAGAACAAACAGATTGCTCAGTGTGTTTGGGTTCACAAATAGCTTCGCCAAAGTAATATCTTTCTAAAGATGAATAAGAAAAACACTACTTGATTCTCTGTGAGCCAACAGAGAAAAGTGATTTATTCAATATGACTGAAACACTAGACATCTGTAGGATGGTCAGCAAACTTCCTGCTTCTATATACTCAGTATCACACAGGCATTGGCAGAACTAAAATGGAAAAGTGAAGTTTGTTTATTTTGGGCACAACTCATTGTATTTTTTCCAACAGTTTTTCCTACTGTAAACGAACCTGTATTCATTTAAGGCCAGGCACATCACTGTAAATTATCTCCCACAACACTAGAGATGGAACAAATTAGTATGGAAAGGTTTTATTTTTAAAACAACAACAAATGGCTGCAATCAACAACAAAAAGATCTCATTATAAACTGGAATGATGAATAAGTTGCACACACATAGGATACCCTTCCAAGAAAGGAAGGTCAAATAGCTAAAGGAATTTTGAAACTTTGACCGCGATCTATGCGATTACTCAATATTTCTCTCATCATTTGTTATAAACGTATATATAAGGATGAAAAGCTCATTTAAGGCAGGAAGGATAGCCTGCTGGAAATGGCACAGCCTTTGAATTTAGGAGTAGTGCTGTCTAAATAACTAATCTTTCCATTCTCTGTCTAAACTTAGGGAAAAAATTGTTCCAGGTCAACCCAAAATGACTTTTTTGTTAGTTTTGCCAGAATGAAAATGAAAGAAAAGATATTTCAGTTCTGATCAAATAAAAGACACTGCTTGATTTAGAATACTTCATTTATCATGTAGTTATTTTTTTCTTCATTTCAATTTTCTATTAGATTTAAGTAGGCTTACTCTTAAAATGTGTCAAAGTGAAAAATCCGAACTTTCTTTTTTCTAAAAAGGAGTGAAAAAATTGTTAATTCAACCCCAGACTTAATTTGAGATTTGCATTATTTTTTAGCCTTACATCACAGCTTTTCTACAACAGGAAGGTCTTTTAGAAGTTTTTGATGTCCTAGGAACATCATAAAAATTAAATCTAATGATCAAATTAAACATAAATAGTCTAACATTTGCAAAAAGAGAAGGAATTAGGCTGATATATGTAATAACCAGACACAACAATATCTCTCAGTTGAGAAGATTTTTTAAAGAACATGTCAATATTGGTTTGAACTGTGAATCCTTCAAAGTCACCATCCTTAGGATATCTGGAGTGTACTGCAGCCAGTACAAATGGAATATGTTTATAATTGTGGAGGATGAATCCTCACTTCTTTTTAGATCTACCTCTGTTAAGGGAACTCCTTGGATACATTTGATTTCACCTATGCCTTTCTGCCATTTTCACGATGAAAAAAATTAGCAAATACAAGGAATGTGTGTGGGAAACAGGCAGAGCTGCTCTCCCAACATGGTACTAATTTGTTTCCAATCCTGTGGCAAATTATTCCCTTCTAAAAGAGAGGGAGTGGGGAACATTTCTCTCAGAGAGACAGAAAGAGAGAAAAAAATTATTAAATATTTTGCAGAAGGTGAACTTAGAGGTTCTGATGCAAATCCCGAACAAATTACAGTGAAGCAGAACCAGCTGGTGGGAGAACACTGCTGCAGTAAGCACAGTGCCTGACCTGGCCTGCCAGCACTCTGCAGTTCCCAGCTTTACTGTTGCTCAACACCTTGGTAAAAAAATAGGCAGAATGTGTTGAATTTATTCAAGGAAAAACAAGAGATGATCAAAGTTATTTTATGAGACAACCTGATGTGGACCCTGGAGATTCTACACCGGGTCACTCTGTGTGCTCAGAAAAGCTCAGTGCTGTCGAGTTGCTAAAGGGAAGCCTACGAGAGGGGAAGGCATAGTGGTCTGTAAGAAATGGAGGTTGTGACACAAAGCTCATGGGTACAGGAACACCAGTGGTATGTGCAGAGCTCACAGCTCTTATTATCTGCTACATCACTAACACTCTGTGCATGATGTAGCATGGCTAGGGGAGAATTTTTGTTTTGTTTTCTTTTGTTTTGTTTTTTTTAGCTTAGTTTTGTTTTTAAATCACTATCTCAAATTACTTGTAAGGGGCAGCCTGGCCATCTCTGAGAGAAGGAGACCTCTTCCAGAGAGGTCTGCAAAGGCAAATACCTTTGCAGGTGCAGCTCTTGAGAGATGTATCACTATAGTATAAAAGTGGCAAGGAGCTGCATGTATCCATTACTTCTTTACTCCATTCTCTGTGGCCAACCTTCAAGCCTTTAAACTTTTTCTACATCTGTTAGGTGTTGAATATGTAATTTTTGGAAGGATGGGTTACCATTTGCTCGTAATAACATCAGCATGACTGATCCCAAGCTTGGATGGAGCTCAGATTCTACCAAAACATAAAATATTAAGTAACAATTTTTATATAGAGCATAGAATGTAAATGAAGTGAAAGAAAGCCAGTGGGAAAGAAGGGGAAAGGTTGCAGTAGTGTAAGGATCTTTACTGTAGCAGGTTATTTAATAAGTGAAATCTGGAACCACATGAATAAATGCCTTTTACAAGCTTAAGTATTGGGTAATTAAGGATTCTTGAGAACTTCAGATTTAAAATGGATGGTTTTCTAGGAAAGGTGAAGTAGTTCATCCAGAAACTGCTGGCTTACTGCAGGAGTTCTCTGACAAGATTCTGTGACCTGTAATATGTAGGAAACCAGATTAAATCCTCAAAATGGTCCCTCGTGTTCCTCAAACATACGTCTGAATACTCCAGCTCAGTTTACAAACAGTTAATGGGTAGTTAGCAATTTTTTCACAGGGTGCCAATAAAGGACTAATCAGCCCTTGTAGTAACAGTATGATTCTAGAACAGCTTCTATTGACAGACTCTCTCTAACACGGCTTGTAAATCCTTTGTTTAAGGAGTCTTAATATAAAGTGTTACAATGACAATAATAATCTGAATGTGCAACCAATTCTCCCTCCTGTGCTGCCAGCACTGCTGATAATGAGCTAACAGAAGCACTGCTACTATTGCAATGAAGCCTGTAGGGAGCAAAGCCCTAATGGCTTTTATTAGTAACACCAAGACATGCCACTGTTTCATTCCAAACTGAAATGAATCACCTTTTCTATTTCTGTATTGGAACAGCCGTTGTTTATATTGCAATATGTTGCACAGTATGCACTAAAGTGCTACCTACTATTAGTCAGCTCTGAGTATTCCTCTGAGTTTTATCCAGGCAGTTTACATATTTTATTTTTTTTTTGTAACATAGTATATATAAACGTAGGGACTTCAAATAAGGCAACTTGGCATACTCTTGTCTTTCTGAACACCTAAAATGCTTTGGAAGATTTGTATATTTACATCACTGGAAGATAAAATCTGGTGTGCCAGGTAAAGCAATGGTGTCGCAATAGCCTCACTGTCAACCTGACCCTCTACTCTGGAGTAACTATTTCATAAGAAAAGGAGATTCTTATCCAGTGTTTGACCTATATGTTGAGGCAGCAAGCAGGAAACTCAAGTGGAAGGGTAGGATTGAGAAGTCTTGGATTTTCTTATTAGAATATATTAATAATGCAAAATATCTCTTTGGATCCTTTACTCATTTCAAAAGTGCTGTAAATGACACAAAGGTTAATCAAGTCTCTGTTTACTATAAATTTAAATTTAGAATGGAGATTTGAGGTAAACGCTCTTTAAATGGTGTCTCCAAAACGCTCTCTCCAAAAAAACAGAAGCCATATCCAGCACAGTACTTCATGATCACAGTTCACCTTGGCTCATATGGAAGCTGTTAATTGCCCAACACCTCTGAAAAACAGGTCTGAACTGTCTCCATCTGGGACCCAACAGATAAATAAATAGATGCAGTACCAAATGGGAAAGGGTCATGAAAATCTTGGGCTCTCAAAGTAAGAGTCACGGTAGCTTATCCCTGTGCCTCTGTTACACACCTAAAAACCAAACTACATAAAGCTTAAAAACATGATTGGGGCAGGCAAAGTCCTTGCTGCTGGCTTTTTAGGTGCTGTTGAAATAGAGCCAACAGAGCAGCACAAGGGATCTTCAAGAAGCCAAAGTGTTATTAATTACTATTATATTTATGTGCTAATGCTGGTAATCTTAAGTAACTGTTTGTGAGAATGTTTCAGCCTGGCTAAATCCAGAAGTATTGTGTAGATGCAGTAACTGTCAAGAATATGAGCTGTGGAACAACAAAAGCCACCTGCATTGCTCGTGAAGGTCTGGAACCAAAATACCGGAAAGACCGGGTTACATGCCAAGAAAAGAAAAATACATTCTGTATGTTCTGCATATGGACCGAGGCATGAGGCCCATAAAGATGAAAAGCTGACTCTAATTTTAGTGGGATGTTTCTATGACTAATGGGCCATGTCAGTTATAGGTCCTCTGGATACGTCACAGTACCTGCTTGGAACTGAAGGAGAGTTGTTTGATTCCCAGATGGACACCCTGGAACACTGGCATTCCCGTGAGCCATCGTGTACCTTTTAAATGCTGTTGTAATGGTGATGAAAATAAAACCCAGTCAGATCCTGCACTTTCATGGCTGGAGGCAGCAATCAGAGAATCGTCATTTTGCCAGGGCTGACTTCATTTGTTCTTTGGCAAACCTGTGAAGCAAATATGAAATCCAGGTATTATTATTTTCAGTCAAAATCCCAGCAACTGACATCTTTTGCTACTTTTCAAGTAGCCCCTAGTGACTCGGCAATGCTAAAGGACTTTGCCATATTTGCAGGAGCACAGCCACTAAAAATAGTCAAGCATGTGCCTACAAGATGGCTTAGTCTGCACAGGGTTATAAAACATACACCGGACATGTGATTTGCTTTGCTGTCGTATTTTCTGAGTTGTGAGCAGCAATCTGCCAAAATAGAATTCGTTTGGTGATTTCTTCAGAGCTGTAAGCTTAAAACTGGTTTTTCTGTTCTTAATTTATGTCATAGGGTCTCAACAGCAATTTAATTTGAAGCCTCAGAGTGAGGGAAAGCCAGCTACTGATGTCTGTAGGCTGGTTGAATGTGTGCTGGCAGAGGGCTGGACTCAGAAGCTGCGCTGGTAACGCTTCAAAGAAGTGGCTGCTCAATCCTCAGACGGTCTGAGCATTTTCTTTCAGCAGGTGACACAAAAAGTGAAGCAGAAGTCTAGAAATGCAGATGTTGTACCTGAGAGTTACGTCACCAACTTGGTATAAACAAACAACAATACACATTCTGCTGCAGTGATTTAAAAAGCCACAACAACATTTTCACCTTCAGAGAAATAGTTCATTTATTTTCAGGTTTGTATTTGAAAATGTGGGAAGGGGCTCAAACACTTTGAAATTTGGAAATTTAAAGGAAACCTTTAGTTTGAAAAAATGTCACTGTTAAGAAATTATGTTAATTCTTTCTTTCTTTCTTTCCTTTTTTCTTTCTTTCTTTCTTTGTCTTTCTTTCTTTCTTTCTTTCTTTCTTTCTTTCTTTCTTTCTTTCTTGCTTTCTTTCTTTCTTTCTTTCTTTCTTTCTTNCTTTCTTTCTTTCTTTCTTTCTTTCTTTCTTGCTTTCTTTCTTTCTTTCTTTCTTTCCTTTCTTTCTTTTTTTTGTACTCCTCACTCTGGTTATGATGGTATGTAGTGGTGTTTTTTTAAACATACCAAAGTAAGACCAGAAGGAGAAAACATTCAGATTTCCTAACAAAAAATATTATCACAAGAGATGCTGTCTAATGTCACAGACTCAGTCATATGCTTCTAAAAACTGAGGTGTCACTCCAAGCAGTGTTAAGCCTTGCAATCTTCTGACTGTTGTCCAGTCTTTATCCACTGAAAGAAAACCCATTTGTACCCCTATATACATAGTTTGGAAGTGGCTGTTTCTAGACCCAAAAAAAGGTCATAAATGTATAGACAAGAGAGCACTGTGATAATGTGATCCTTGTGATTCCAGGCATTAGTACATCATCTCTTACATATAAGAAATTAGAAAGGAACATCAGAGTTTATTTTTAATTTTGATTCTCAGATTTTACCATATAAATCAGTTTTGACAGGAGCTTGTTACAAATGGCACTGCCACAAACATTCACCATCAAGAATTCAACCCAAACATCAATGTGGGAGTCCTAGGAACAAAAAAAGAGAAATGAAACCCAAACAAAATCAAGAAACCCAAATAAAATCAAGAAACCCAAATCCTATATGCGAAATAGGATTAATATATTAGGACTGAACTTGATTTTTTTGCTACTTGCAAGAGTTCCTGGTGAAGCCCCTGGCCCTTATGCACAGCAGCTTTGGCAGTGCCACCTGGTGCTGGCTGCATAATGGTCATCATCACTGGGGCAGGAGTCAGAGTCATGGCTGGGCTTCGCGAACGAAGATTTGGGGAGGGCTCTACCCACATTTGTTACAAGCACGCTGGTGGCTAAAAAGGCCAATACGAGACAGGCACGTCCGGTTGCAAAAGGCACAGCAAAAAGACTCCTTAGGTGGTATATTCTGCAAGGCACGATTCTTTCCGTATTGTCTTTTCTCCTCGAGAGTGATCCTGCGTGCTTTCTCGAAGGCATCAGCGACATTATAGATGGTGTGCCTCCAGGCCTCCCAATTGGAGGCCAGAGTAGATCAGTTATGTTGATCAATATGGCCAAGGCTGAGATGTTGTTTCAGGGAGTCCTTGTATCTTCTCTTTGGGGCTCCTCTCATGTGGCAGCCGGTGGTAAGTTCACCATAAAGCAAAATCTTAGGGAGGCGGTGGTACTTCATCCTTGAACGTGCCCTGCCCAGCGCAGCTGTGTTCTCAGCAATGGGGCAGGAAGTGTCCTCACAAATAACACAATTAGTACTCAACTGAGGCAAATTCTTGTGTACCTTGTAAGTCAAGAAACGTTACCAGAAAGATAGTTGATGAACTGACTTACATTGTTGAGCATCTAAAGGTTTCTTTTTTATGGCTATGTGTGCATCAGTTCACTTTTGCTCTATGTTTTCATTCCAGTTCTTTTCTTCCCTTTCACCTCATGAAACTTCCCAACAGGCCAGAAAGTTCTCAAAATGGCTTTTCCACATCAGAATCAGAACCCTTGTTCTTTCTGCAAGCATGTCAACACACCACAGTGTGTTCTATCTGCATTTTTTGTGGTTGTGGTTTTGGAAAAAAAAAAATAAGTAGAAATAAGTAATTTTAAAGATCATCCAGTTCCGATGCCCCCATGACAGGGACAATCTCATCAAGTCCCATAGACTTGTAGGGATCTAGCTGGAGCAGCAGATCCCACCCAAGTTTACTGTCGACTGCAAGTTTTTCATTCCCACATAGTCCTTCGTTTTTTGCCTTAGCTCCAAAAGAAGATCCCTATTCAGCTAGGCCAGTCCTCTGCCCCATTTGCTTCCCTTCTGACACTTTGGAATTGCCTGCTCCTGTGTCCTTAGAAGGTGGTGCTTAAAAAGTGGTTAGCACTGGTGGACCCTAACACCTGCAAAAGCATTTTCCCAGGGCTCCTTACTCACTAGTTCCCTGAACAGTCTGAGGTCTGCTCTCCTGATACCCAGGGCTGAAGTTTTGCTGGCATTTTTCTTCCTGCCAATAAGATTTTAAACTCAATTGCATCATGGTCACTGTGGCCAAGATGGCCACCAATCACCAATTCACACAGGAGACCCTCTCTGCTAACAAACAACAAATCAGATGGGCATCTTTCCTCGTCCCAATCCAAATCATTCTATGATTTTATGATTATTGGGCCTTAAAAAAACCCAAAACAACAACCTAATTTCCTAGTTTGCATTTCTTAGTTGGTGTGGAACTAATTTCACCTCATTTTCTGTTTACTATGTAGGCACTTAGAACCGAGGAAGTCATTCTGTGTCTACTTTATAGCCAATGGAGCTGAAATAGGTGCAGTTCCTAAGGGAACAATTCCACCCATTTTTATATCAACTGATACCCTAGAAGTACCAATTCCCACCCATTGGGCACAAAGAGAGTGCAGGGTGACCAGGCTTGATGCAAACCTTCAGGCCACAGGTGGCTGTCTGGAGCCTGACAGATGCTGGTACCTCACACCACACCAAATTGTGCTGATGTGGGGCTGAGAGAACCTGGAAACCTCTGCTTTAGTCTCTGCTTGCAAGACTTTGCTCTTACTGCTGTTTCATACTCTGTGATTTTTTTTTGCCCAGCATATCATGGGCACAAATTGCAGCCTATTCTTTACTTTGAGGACAGACACAAAAGAGCTACTGCTAAAGTCCTAAAGGCAGCCCATAGCTATTGATTCGATTTCCATTAGCAGCATTTACGTATGCAAACAGTTATAGGCTACAAGTGGTTCAGACAACCCCATTTTCAGCATGCTGTGAGAGGACAAGAATGATATGGCTATTACTTGTTTCTATTTCTTATTTATTCATATGCCTGACCTATGGACTCTCTTCCTTCCACCATACCCAATTCATGTGCATATAACATATTCATGGAAACCCAAAGTATATCATTTGCTGCCAGCCAGCCCACACTGAGTAAATACAAAAAAGAGGCTACATTACACTGTGGGAAGTGTGGTATCACAAATATGTGCAAAAGTAAGGGCTCACCTCATAATTCATGTGTGAGGGAATGAATATGACATAGCTAAGAGTTTTCATTGTTAATTTTTTTTACAAGCAGATTGTAATTGTTAACAGGCAGGAGCTGTGGCTACGTGTGGTCCCTCTCTCATCTTCCACTTTTGGTGGCTGGGGGAATGTTGGTGGGGAATGCCGAGTTTGAGCGGACCTTGATGCTCTCGAATCACGCTCACAAGCAGTTACAGAGATGGAGCTATTAAATGAGCTACAACTGCCTGCTCCCTTCCAACTGCAACCATAGACCTGATGTCTCTCAAGACAACATACCTGCCTCCCCAGAGCCAACAAATAATGTCTGATTAGACCTCTGGGGCGCTATGGCAAATCTCGTGGCTTATCAGCTACAAACCTGATCCCTCTGCTGTCAGTCAGGGAGTTGCCCACATTGCCTTTAATGAAGAGGATTGGAATAGATGTTGCTGATTAAAAAACCTGCAATGGTCCTGTTTTAAGTGTCTTGTACAGTGAGTTTTCCAATTAAACTTCAGCATTGTAATGTACTATAGGCATTGTAATTGCAGTTACAGATGTTTCTGACTTTCAGAAAAGATTTCCTTATGTCTTGTAAAGTTTCATACTCAATATGAAAAACAAACCCTTTACTAATTTTTTTTGTGCATGGGGGGCAAAAATGTTCTTCGTTTCAAACTTAAGACTTCTTTTTTTAGTTTGTTTTGCATTGAATTGAAAATATTTTAAGGTTTTTAAATTTTTTTTTAGAAAAAGAGTATAGAATTAAAAAGATACTTTTTTCACTCACTCTGTGAGCCTGTGGTGATGGCTGGGAATTTTAATAGTATTTTCTGACCAGTAGAAAAAGCTATAATGAGGTTTTCTCTTCAGTGGCTACTTCTGGTTTTTGAAGAGTTCAATTAGCTCTTACCTAGCCAATAAGCACAAGAATAGCTTTGAGAAAGCTGGCAAAGCAGTGGCTGTCACATTGAAATACACTTACGAACACATTCCTAGTTCTTGTGGTTTCATGCTTTTCAGCAATGTGCC